TCCCATTGAGTGGAGCCAATTAAGACCACGCGTGCCCCGTTGATGGTTAGTGACCACTGAATATTTTCTCCCCACCGTGAGAGTCTCACGCGTCTACGCCTTCAACTCTGTCGCTGTATCGCAGACTCGCAATCGCCTCATGCTTTGCCTCCTTGCCTTCCTCACATCTCGTATCTCGCTTTTGCCTTCGTCCTTCCCTCGCATCTCGCATCAGGTTCTCGCTCTCGCTCTCGCTTCGTATGGTTGTAAATTTGTAGAGATTAGGAATCGATTCCATAGACCCACCTAGGAATTAGACTATCGGTGTGGTCCAGTTCTTAGCTGGATCCATGGAACCAACGGATAATTCCTGATTCTAATTTTTCAGAATCGATCCTTAATATGCGGTTTCGATTTTCAAGGTGAGAACCACCCACCTAGACCATGCTCACCCCTACTCTGGAACTAGGAATCTACCTTATCAGGATCGGTTCCAAAAGTTTTGGAACCCGAAACCTACTATGCATGCATTGGAACTTAGAACCTATCCTGTTAATCAGTTTTATGGTCTACTCGGGAACCAACCAATATTTTTTGGTTAGATTTTTTCTTCCTTTTTTTGTTCATTTTTAGTTAAGCAAAATGAGAGTGAACACAACAACAAGAATCCCAATTTGTCAATAGCAACAATCAATAAAAGATGAACACGTAAAATAAAATAAACAATAAAAAATTTAAAACACATAAATGAAACCTAAATTATAAAACTTAATTCCACAATCATCCATGAAAAGTTGCTCCAAATTCTAATCACCTGAAATAAAAAGAAGCAGCAAAAGGACACTATTAGTGCCATAACTTGTGTACGGAGGTCAATTTGGTGCCATAACTTTTTTTTGAATCACTTTGGTGCTAACTTTTTTGAAAAACGATCACTTTAGTGCCAATGCTGACATGACTTGCCGGAAATCCTACGTGGTGCTGACATGGCTCGCCGGAGAGGTCCAGTCAGCATTAAAAACCAAAAACGACGCCGTTTAGTCCGCTGACGTGTACTTTTTTAGAAAAATAAATTTTAAATTATATTAAAATAATTAAAAAACAAAAAAAAGGAAAATACCACCAAAAATCCCAAATTATGACACTTGTGATAATTTACCCTGAACTTTTTTTTTTACACGAAAAACCCCAAACTATGCCATTTGTGATAAGTTTACTCTGAACTTTTTTTTGTGATACTAAAAACCCCAAATTATACTCATTATGATACATTTACCTCACAACACTTTAACCCAAGGGTATTTTCGTCTTTTTTCCTTTTGTTTTTTTTTTTTCTTTCTTCTCTGGCAAGGGCAACCCGCCGGGAGTAGGAGACCTCGCCGACGCCGGCCGAGGGTCCCCGACGCCCGAGTCGGGCGTGACGACCCTTGCCTCGATGCCGGCGAGGGTCGCCCTCGCCAGATCCAGCGAGGGTAGCCCTCCCCGACGCCGGCAAGGGTCGCCCTTGCCAGATCCGGCGAGGGCAACCCTCGCATGAGTCGGGCAACGGAAGCCCTTGCTCGGCCGGCGGTGGTGGGGCGGCGGCAAGCCCTCGCCTGCTACTTGCCCTCGCCCGGCCGGGCCAGCAAGCTTGCCTTCGCGGTGGTCGGGCGAGGCGAGCTTCGCTGAGGTTGGCCACGCCACCCTCCTTTGGCGGTCGCGGACCCGACCGGAAAAAGTTAGGAAAAAAAAGATTAAAAACTTCAAAAAAAAGCCACATAATTTTCACGTGTACAAGTCGGACCATTTTTTTTAAATATAAATGCCACATCACCTTTTTGGCGAATTTTGGCGGAGTCACTAAAATGATCTATTTTTCTCCGATTTTGGCACCAAAGTGTTCCAAATTCTAATCACCCGAAATAAAAAGAAACAACAAGCATGGTTAATCACTTAAGAATACTTTTAAATTAAAATTACTATTCATTAAGCTAAAATAATTATTAAAAAACCTCATCACATATATTCATTCCACTTTAAACTCTATTTACCGATAATAATCTCCTCATTACAATCTATATCTAAAGAAAAAAGAAGATATTAAATAAAGCATTCACCCATTATATATATAAAGGAATTACAATATAAAAAGATATATATACACACACACACTTACTCAAACTTTTTTGCATGCTTGATGCACTCTTCAACATTAATCGGCACACGAACAGCTCTCAATCAATCTTAAGTGCAAATCAACGCTTCCACTAATTTTTGAGTCAAAGAACTTTGAAAGCCATCAAGCACACGAACTAATGTACTAAAAGATGACTCTGAAGCAACAGAAACTACGAGATTAGACAAAACATCGCAAGCCATCAAAAATGGGATTTCATATTTCGAGCCAGTAATCTTAGATGTCAAGATCAAGAACATCTTTACTTTCAACTTCAAGATACCGTTCATGCTCAGATTTTTGTCATCATATACTTTTTTTAGTGCAAAAGGGTTTTCTGCCAAGCTTGGATGTCGTACTTGTTATTACCTTTACTATCATCGGTATTGAAACAACGATTATTAGCACTCAGACTTTGACACCAAAATTTCGTTTACTTGAACTAAGAGAAGATTTCTCATAAAATTCATACAAACACAATCAACATCATCATATTCACTTTATCTAAACTTCTATAATACTTGTTAAATTTCTCTTTCATCTTCGTACCCATAGCTTCAAGCTTAGTGTCTGAAGCACTTAATGAATCTTTCAAATATTTATACAAAAGAAATATCTCCTCAAAATAATTATTTGAAGTAATGTATAAACTCCCCGACATTCAATTGGTAGCATCATAGAACTGTTGTAGATATTTTGAAAGAATATTGGTATTTTCCCAATCTTCATTTTTAGTAATATCATAGTTAAGCTCGCTTATGAAAGATAAATCATCTTCTTCCATATTTTCAAAATCTTTTTTGATCGACCAAAAAAAAAGTTTTTTTGAACTTTGTGGTGGTGTCTAACGTGAGGTAAGTGGAGTTCTCATCTAGTGGCGACGTCAAGACAAACCGAATCCTTGTAAGTGATCCTTTTCCACTCAATGCAAGATTGCAATGTTTTGGCATTCATGGGAGAACTCCTCACATACCTAACCACATTTCAGATACGTGCAATGGATTTATGTATCTTAGTCAAGTCATCTCTCACAATCAAGTTTAATATATGAATGGTGCACTTCATGTGTAAAACATTACCATCTAATGTCAACAAATTTTCCCAATTTGCCTATCCTTGTGACTATGCATCACCACAAAATTAACGATTCTTTTATGCAACTTTCAATTTTCATCAATAAATTATGTAGTGAGACATAAATAATTTAGGTTTTGAATGGAACTCCATGTATTAGTTGTGGGTGCGATCCTAGACTTAAGCTTACCAAAGTAAGTCTTCAAATAAGTTCTTTTACTAAGATGCAACTTTATGCAATCTCTATCCATTGTGAATTGCAAAAAATGTTTGAAGAAAGGTTGTGAATGAGTGACAAACTCATAAAATCCAACATGCTCAACAAAGGAAAAAGGTTGTTCATAACTACAATGAACCGAGTAAACATGTGCCTACAACGATCTTGATCGGACTTTTAAGCAAATCGTTTGGGATAATCGGACTTAGTATGTCTAACGTTGCTCTTTATCTAATTGTCAAAACTTTCATGCAAAATCAGTGATAAAAATTATGAATATGAGTGTGTTACCCAACGAGCGTGTGGGCCTAAGCGAGAGGGTTTTCCCCTCAAACAATGTTGGGTTTTTTTTTTTTGCGGGCCTGGGAGCCCTACAAACAAGATCTTGGGTCGTTGCTTTGGGCCTGTCCATCTGACGCACGAAGAAGCTTGTGACATGTACCTTAGTAGGAAAAACCCCATTTGCCCGTGAAAACCGAGGTAATAAGTATCGAATGATCATGTGCAACCACGACTTAACTTTTTAGGTTACGTAAATTTGAGCGCCTGATAGGAATCGTTGAGTATCCCTTATATCCCAAAGTCCGGCACATACAATGGGACTAGATCGACCGTCTAAGGGTATTTCCAGCTTTGTGGGGATGGTGTATTATCCCAAGTCCCGCGTACGACGAAACCGTCTACTCATTCTCGTGGGCTTATCTCATTGGATCTCCCTAGAAAGAAAGAGAGAAAAAATCATTAAGAACGTCGGCGAGGTTCCATGGTTTTCTTCCTCGCTAAATGGTTTACTATGGGACGCGGAAATGATCACCTAACTTATAGATCCAATCCGTATCCGATGATAATGCTGCACATATGTTCTATCGCTTATTTGATCACGAACCGGGTCGGGCAAAGATTTTCGAGCCCGGAACAAACTCCGGCCCATCCTTTCTCTCTCTCTCTGCTTTCCACACCGATTTCCTTCTTCTTTTTGCAGCTTCTTCAAGGGAGCCATTTTTAATACTGAGTGGGTAGCATACAATCAGTGAGAAATCGAATCAAGGATCATGAAAATGGAGGTGTGTTCTTATGGATAACGATGGACACAAACGGTTCATGAATTTTGGTACTATATGTAATGTGGTCCCTGAACTTTTAATTTGTTCAATGTAGTCCATGAACTTTAGATTAATAGTCCGAACTTTTAATTTGTTCAATGTGATCCCAAAACTTTAGCCCAATAATCCGTAAACTTTATTCTAATAGTGGGACATTACACGTTATGTTAAAAGTTCATAGATCACGTTACATATTAAATTAAAATTTAAGAACTCTTTGCCACATTTTCGTTTTAATAAAAGTGCACCAGCAACTCTCTGTCTCTGTCTCTCTCTCTCTCTCTCTATCTGACTGAGTCTTCTTTTTCATCTTTCTGCAACCCCAAAACAAAAAGTCACAAGAGAATTTTTTTAAAAAAAAAAAGGGAAAAAGAAAAGGAGGAAAAAGCTCTCCGGAACCATCCTGACTCCTTCTCCTCCTCTTCAGTATTCTTCACTCACACGCCCAAAACCCTCGCTTCGAACTCTCTAGAACCTCTACCCCCTCTCCGTCGCCGCCCTCTCTTCGCCGTACAAATCTCTTACCCCTCCCTCGCTCTCTCTCTCTCGCTACCTTCCCGGTGCTTCGCTCGCTTCTCGACGCCGCCGAGATTCCGGCCGCTTCGCGATTCGTTGCAGGCTCGCGGGTCCCGCCGCGCCCCACCCTCCCCTCTCTCTCCGGCGAACATGGCCGATGACTTCGACATCCCGCCCGCCGACGAGATGAACGAGGACTTCGACCTCCCCGACGACGACGACGACGCCCCCGTCATGAAGCCCGGCGAGGAGAAGGAGATCGGCAAGCAGGGCCTCAGGAAGAAGCTCGTCAAGGAAGGCGAGGGCTGGGACACTCCTGATAATGGCGACGAAGTCGAAGGTAGGCGTCCCTCCTTTCTCCGCGTCGCGTGTTAGCTTTCGTCGTTTTCGTTTCTGGAGGTGGTTGAGCTGAATGGTTTTTCCTTGTGGGGGTTTGTCTTGTTTTCAGTGCATTACACCGGGACGCTCCTTGATGGTACTCAATTCGATTCTAGTCGGGACGGCGGGACTCCTTTCAAGTTCACTCTCGGCCAAGGTGATGCTCCCAAGTTTTGTGCATTAATCGTGATTGTTCGCTCGGTGAATTAAAGTCGTCCTCAGTATGCTCTGCTGTGATTTTGGAAGTTCTTCAGTTGCTTAATCTTGAATCTAATTGGGCTGTTAAGGTGGAGTTCGTATTTTCTGTTCATTGGTTCTTGGGAATGCGAATGAGTTGCATTGAAAAATGGGTTATACGCTACGGACGGGTAGGCAAGATAACGCCTTAGTAGGTAGGAATTGGTTTTCTTGATGGGATGATATTTTGCTGATACTGAGTAGTAGTGTCCGAGTGGAAGGTCCTAGTTGAACGGGTTTGTGCGTGTGGCACGTCCTGTATTTGAGTATATTTCATCCTCTCTATGGATCCTACACGTGTAACTCTCTGGAGGTCTTAGACTCTCCTCTGACCATTTGCTTCTTGGTTTCGCCACAAAGACCGAGATTTTACAATATTTGGCTAGGCAATGGTGTTGTGATTATGCGAGGAAATTGGAAGGGAAAGGTTTAACTCTGAGAAGTTCTTTATTAGCTGACGCGGGGATATGTCGTGTATACCCACTACTCAATGTGTGTTTTATCTACTGTCTCTAGTCCATGCAGATGCAAATTTTCCTTCTCTACTATTGTGGCTGGATCGATGATGTTATTAATTACTGCGTTTTCTATCTGCAAGCTTCTAAAGAAGAAGTGGAGATAACTTTGTATATGCTGAGATCCCATTAGCCTGGATGTGACTCTTTGCTTAGCATGTATTGGAGCGTCTCCCTGTATTGGAAGTGCCTTCCTAATTATGGTGGTCACAAGATTTATCTTTACGGTCCATAGTGAATATCAGTTTGACGTGATGCTGAAATATCACGAATGTTGGTCTGTAACTGCTGACAAATGCATATCATTAGTTTTTCTTACAGGACATGGAGTATCATATTAGTTCTAGTTTTTGTTGAAATTAGATGCCTGACTAAGATTCTAAAGTTTCCTAGCCTGGGAGGTTAATCTAGCGAGGAAATATGACTTGCGGACTAAAGTTCTCCTCCGCCTCCCTGTTCTTGAGTGTGTCTGGAGATGGTGAAAATCTTGTATGGATGTTCTGCTGTTCATTGGTTCACTCTTATCTCGTTCTATCATTTTGAATACTGGTCTTTGTCATGCTCCAGCTTTCTTTGATATCTGTGGTCTTTTTCTGGTCATATAATGGTAAGCTGGTTAGATGATGGTGTTAGTAGTACATATTGTTTTCACATTGTTTGAGAAAGACAATTTTATATACTTAAATCTTTTGAAGTTGATTGGGAATATGTCAAACAATTTAACGTCCTTTTCCATAGGTCCTCAGCCTTCATTCTTTCTATATAATCCCAAATGATGGATTATGCTACCGGTCTACTGCTAGTTGACAGATGTAGCATTGGGTGATGCAGAAATAGCATGAATGACTGAATGAACAGGTTTAGCTCATCCACTAGCAAGATCTGAAATTGGTGAAAGGATTGAGAAGAAATGTGATGATGAATAAATGGAAAAATAATGAGAGATATGGACAGACATAAATAAATCCTGTGTAATTGACTGGTCATCATTGGCATGGTTCTCTGTTATTTTTTAGTAGACTGTGTTTCCAAGAGGCTTTTACACCAAAGATATTACTACTTCTGTTAAACCTAAACTGACCCTGTCTGATGAATCACGCAACAAAGCTGAGTCATCAAAAGTGATACTCTTGGACAATATGTCTATCAATAGTATGATGTCTGTGGACTTAGAGAATTCTCTCGACTGTATTATTCAATTTTTGATCATCTTGCGCTTCTTATCTTATGGAGTATCGTTTATTTTATTTTGGACAAGGGAGTTGGCCAAGGAGGGTGTTGATTTTGGAATGAATTTGTTGTGCTTGCAGGGCAAGTGATAAAGGGATGGGATCAAGGTATCAAGACAATGAAGAAGGGGGAAAATGCTATTTTTACCATACCTCCAGAGCTAGCTTATGGCGAGTCTGGCTCATCTTCCACCATACCTCCTAATGCAACTCTGCAATTTGATGTTGAACTGCTTTCTTGGACAAGTGTCAAGGATATTTGCAAGGACGGTGGCATATTCAAGAAAATTCTGGTGGAAGGCGACAAATGGGAAAATCCTAAAGATCTTGATGAAGTATTAGGTGTTTATTTAATTCCTTCTCGTTGATATTTTTTTATGGGGAATTTATTAATCGAAAAGATACTGATGGGATTGACTTCTTGTTTTTATGCAGTCAAGTATGAGGTTCAGCTGGAAGATGGTACCACAGTTGCAAAGTCTGATGGAGTGGAATTCACTGTTAAAGAAGGTGAATAATTTTTGGCAAAGAGTGTACTCTTTTTGCTGTCCTGCGCATTTGTATAGTGTTAACCCTCGTATCTTTCCTGTAGGACATTTTTGCCCAGCAGTTGCTAAAGCTGTGAAGACAATGAAAAAGGGGGAGAAAGTTCTTTTGACAGTCAAGCCACAATGTAAGCTGAACTTCTTTCCTCCATCTCTTTTTTCTCGTGGTGCATTCTGCTGGGGTGCATTTTGTTAATTTTAGATCTTGTTTGTAGATGGATTTGGTGAGAAAGGTAAGCCGGCTTCTGGTAATGAGGGTGCCGTTCCACCTAATGCCACTCTTCAAATAATGTTAGAGTTGGTATCGTGGAAGACTGTGTCTGAAGTGACTGATGACAAGAAAGTAATAAAAAAGATCCTCAAGGAAGGGGAAGGGTATGAGAGGCCTTCTGAAGGAACTGTAGTTAAAGGTATTTCTTTTTGTGCCCAAACTTTTCTTACATCCTATGGGTAAGATGATGCACTTTGTTATTTGAGTAACTTAAGAATTGTAGTGTAAAATGAAAGTGACTTAGGTATGATTTGCACAATGGCCTATGTGGTTGCTGATTTGTGTAATTCTGAGTTTGCAGTGAAATTGATTGGGAAGTTGCAAGATGGTACAGTATTTGTGAAGAAGGGCCACGATGATAGTGAGGAGTTATTTGAGTTCAAGACCGACGAAGGTAATTGAACTTGTTGGATGTGTTACTTGTCTGCTTTACTTTAGTCTATTGGTTAGCTGAAGGTTATTCTCTGGACAGAACAAGTAATCGACGGGCTTGACAGAGCTGTGATGAACATGAAAAAGGGAGAGGTTGCTTTGCTGACAGTTGCACCTGAGTATGCTTTCGGATCTTCTGAGTCTAAGCAGGATCTGGCTGTGGTACCTCCTAATTCAACTGTGTATTACGAGGTGGAGTTGGTCTCTTTTGTCAAGGTATGTTAGCAGGTCTTGTTCATGTGCTGTTATTGCACAATCCTCATTGTAACCTTCAGGGCACTAATGTATATAAACATTCAATGTTTAGGACAAGGAGTCGTGGGACATGAATACTGAAGAGAAGATCGAGGCTGCAGGCAAGAAGAAAGAAGAAGGAAATGTTCTATTTAAGGCGGGGAAGTATGCAAGGGCTTCCAAGAGATATGAAAAGGTACATCTCGTCTATTTACATGGTTAGCTAGTTATTATGGGTGCTAATGGTAACATTTTTGTTCCCGGGAATAATTTCTGTTTAGAAATAGTTTTTTCTATTTCTATACCCTGGACGAGTTTCTGAGCAGAAGAACGCCTTTGGTAACTACACGAAATTTCTATTCCTAGAATAGAAAAAAAAACAATAATGCGTTGGGTATGACCCTAAAAATTTCTATTCCCAATTTTTTTATTTAATTATAAAAATGTCAGTGAAGACTTAACAATTCATGTTTGGATAAAATTGGACTTTTGTAAAGACATAACTGATCAATATATTCTAAGATGGCTTCAGAAAATCCAACGTAATAGTTAGTCAAAGATGGATGGCTGTAAATGGCATCAGAGGGTTCCACTAGTTTATAACTCACAATATGAGGAGGTTGACAATAAATTTTTGGGCATTAAAATAAACGTGTATGGACCTTTTGAGCTTTAGGGTGTAGGGTGTGTGGTGTAGGTTACGCTAAGCTTGTTCCTCTAAAATGACCTTACTATTCTATTCCAAATATATTCCCTGGCCACTGATCTATTACTGGGAATAGAAAAATTAATCAATGTACACGAACATATTTCTATTTTTTTTCTGTTTCGGGGAACAAAAGAACAGAAAAACAAAGGAACGAAAATGTTACGAAACAGGCCCTATGTGTCCCGTTATTTAAAGCACTTGCAACGGGGTATTGTTTTGTTTCATGCTAAGTGGCAGGGCTAATGATTCTCATATCTGACTTTTGAGTCCTGATGGAGCACAGGCCTAGTAACATGCCATGAGGAAGTTTGCTCAATTTTTTTTTTCTGTTGGAAGTTGACATGATTGTCTCCTGTTTCCTGTGTTGCTGCCATTTGTTTGGATCAATTTAAGCACTGTTTAGTTTTTACTTAAATCCTCTGTTGTGTGGCTGGTTGTGTGTGATTTAGCCTTGAGGATGGTTGCTTTTTTTCATTTGACGCCGTTATGTATTATATGTAAAAGTATGGTATAATAGGAAATCAGAATCTCAATCACGGGTTTAAATTGAGGTTTTCCTTGTAGTGGAAGGTCTCAGTTTCTTAGTTTCTCCAGCCCATTGTGAAGATTCTTTTTCTAGTTTTTAGTAATAAATTTGGTATTTGATGAAATGACAAACTGCTTGCTGGTCAAAGTAGAGTTTGTCGGAAAAGCTAGAATCTTGAACAGGGCGATTTACCTGGATAAGCTCTACCTGGCAATTTCTCCTATTCTGGCGGATATTGATCTTGTTTGTAGCTAAGCATTTTGTTCCTTTATTTTGTAGGCTGTGAAGTTCATAGAGTACGATACATCCTTTAGCGAAGAGGAGAAGAAGCAAGCGAAGGCACTGAAAGTTGCGTGCAATCTGAATGATGCAGCATGCAAGCTAAAACTCAAAGATTACAAGCAGGCTGAGAAACTGTGCACCAAGGTTTGGAAGATTTCCTTGTCTTTGCCACTACAAAATCTCTGGGTGTGATGCATGAATGGTTTCTCATGTTTGATTCTGTGTTTCAGGTTTTGGAGCTGGATAGCAGTAATGTGAAGGCTCTTTATCGGAGAGCACAGGCTTACATCCAGCTGGCTGATCTTGATTTGGCTGAATTTGATATTAAGAAGGCGCTAGAGATTGATCCTGACAATAGGTACTTCTTTTTACTCCTTTTCGTTTTCTGAGATGCTTCTTTCGTGGTTTGGGATATCGTGATCACTCGTGTGTGGAAATATGGTGCTTACACATTCAATTTGCCTCGTTGAAAACAGGGATGTGAAACTGGAGTATAAAGTATTGAAGGAGAAGGTCAAGGAGTACAACAAAAAGGATGCCAAGTTCTATGGCAATATGTTTGCCAAAATGAGTAAACTAGAGCCTGTCGAGGTAAGACTCAAAAAGAACTTCCCAATCGGGAAATCCTTGTATCGATAAGACCATAGACATCATTATCTGTCATTACTCGGCATTGCTAAGCCTTTTCAAACTTTGTGGACGTGCAGAAGACTGCAGCTGAGGAGACTGAAGCGATGAGCATAGACAGCAAGGCATGAGAGAAGCGCGCACCTATTCCTTTTCTTTTCTTTCGGTCCATTTGTGTCCTCTACATGCACGGAATTCTCTATTCCGTGGCAATGTAACTGGGATTACGTAATTGGAATTGGAAAACATAAAATGTTGATACGGTGTCTGTCCCATGTTTTAGATCAGTCGTGTTGCGGTTGTAGTTTTAAAAAGTTCCTGTCGCTTTGAAAATTGTCTTGCGCGGTTTTGAGAGCTGATTCTCTGGCCTCGATCGATCTGTCTATTTACTTCATGTCCAGCGATATGATTGTCGTTAACTCGGATGACGATGGACTTTGTATTACCGTCATCACCAACAGATACAGGTGCATGTGGGAGACGAGGTACGGTTATTAATCTAATGGGCCGTATAGTGATGTGCTCAACCAATGAATGTGAGAAATTCTCGTCGGAGAGGTGCTTTCTGCTCGGTTTCTGTGGGCAGTGGAACCGTAAATTAAGGTTAATTACACAGAAGAAAGGTTGCTTGGTTGTGTGGAGCTCGAGCCCAAGCCTAAATTAAGGCTCACAAATCTCACGGACTACAACTGACAAATGACAATGACAATGAAAGCACTGTGATCATAGTGCCTGCGGTTCAATTTTCGATGGATCCGCCTATCTCCCTCTTCCTGAATGTTTCAAGCATCCGTTGTCCGTTCGCTAGTACTTGCTGCGAAATTGATCGACTTCGAGGCTAGAAAACAACTGGCTGTATGATGAACCTTGACATCTCCGATCATTCTAAGATTCAAAGGAAAATTATTTTCGAAAATTTATTTTCCGACTTTTCGGTATTTAGTTAATGAAAAAGTAATAAATTTCGATTTTTTTTAAACGAATCATTTTCCTAAACTTAATCATAAGTTTTCCGTTGACTCATTTTCTTAAGCGAACTAAATGCCGAAAAATATTTTCCATGAAATAAACGGAACCTTAAAAGATAAAAGTGAGCGGTTGCAGGTTCCGTACAGGTTCCATTTGGAACCTGAAACCTACCCATCGGTACAGGTTCTTCATTTTTTAGAACCTGAAACCTACCATGTATATCTTAGAATTTGGAATCTACTCTGTCAATGGTTCCAAGGTTTATCAGGTTCCACCTATATTATTAATTGAACTATTGCAGTGAATCATCACTTTTAATGACTACTACTTGCTGTTACAATCCACTGATCACAAATTATATTTAAACACATGAAAAATATGAAACATTAATAAAATAAAAATCTCGGTCAAAAAATGAAAATTCAAACTAGTGGTTCCAGATTATATACTCATCATCGGACAACATACAATACCGTGAGATCACGCGAAATATAGATCAAGAAAAATACAAAAATTTATTCCAGGTTCTAGATGGCTAGAACCTGGAAGCTACTCGTCGATACAGGTTTCCCAATTTTTTGAATCTAGAACCTACCCTGAATATCTTGGAACTTGAAACCGGACAGTTTCCCACCGGTCCAATTCTTAGGTTCCAGATTTTATTTTGGAACTATGCTCACCCCTATTAAAAGAGGATTCATTACTTGATTTGTTTTCCTTCAATCAAACGAAAGTAATAAGAAACGAATGAAGAGCATGATATCCCTCTTTTCCTCTTTTTTTCCGTTCAAATGAATCTTTTCATAATTAGGCTTGAGAAATGTACTCACTAAACAGGCCTATGACATGCGGAATACGATCCCCCTAGGCTCTCTTTACTCCCCCCTAACTAGGCTCGAGGCTTGACTATTGTTACACGATATCGATCTTCTCAAAAACTCTCAATGGATACCGAAAGAGCCCAAACGGTTCATCAAACATCCCGACCAACATTCTCCGATCCCAGAAAAAGTCTGAACCATTCTCATGCAAAAATCCAATCATACATGTGAAGCAGAACACTGATGTACCCTATTCAAGTGACGAGCATCACGCACGTACAATGCATAAACGCACTAAGAAGGAATGTGAGATTTGAACCTTGACCTCTAACATCTCGTGCATATATAATAATGCTTTTGACTTCAAGTTTAAAGAGTGAAAGTAGCACAGCATCCGATGAAGTGTCGAAATTGGCGATGCAGGAACACAACGAAACAGGGGGACTCTTAAAAAGTGGGATAGACCCCGAATGTTATAATGCAATGGTTGGTGAAACAAATGATGATCCCTTCAATCTTCACCAGCCTGTTCTTCCTCCCTCCCAAAGGCAAATGCCAATTGACCCCTACCCATTCCCCTCAAAAGAAAATCAATTATGAAAGAAGAAGAAGCAAAGAGGAGCCTTCAAATAAGGTGAAAGGGCGAAAAAAGTGGAGGTGCCCTTATTGAAAGGAGTGAAAGAACAGTGACAAATTCTTGATTGGAAGGACACCTACCCTAATGATAAACTCCCCAGTTACCCTACAACACCAACCGCAAGTTATCATGTGACTCTCTCTCAGCTGTCTCTTTTCTTGCTCTTCTAAGATTCAATATCTTCTCCCCTAGGTTTGACTCAATTTGCGCTTAAAAAAGTTTTCAAATTGATCGATACCTATACCGCCATGAAATATAGATATGCAATTCTGCACAAACGATGTGGAAAATTCGATGAAGAGTAGGAATGTTAGATGCGCTAATACCGATTTTCCACAATTAATACACCAAACGACAAGATGGATTGTGAGGTAGCTTTTGAAAAAATGGGCCACATTTAATACCGAGTCATGTCTGTTGCATCATATACTATGACTATGAGTGATGTAACGTGATATCGAGTGAATCACCAACATATATCGAGCGGTCTAATCGTTTGTAGGGTCTCATCTTTTGGTTTCTTTTCGTGGAAAAAACCCACCCAGATGATTTGTGGAGTCTCGATGCTTTTCTTCCACTTACGAAACGGAAAATGTGGGTTAGGTTGCTATTATTGATGGAAAGGAAAATTGCTGCAGTGGACTGAAATACTATATGACTCTGGTGGACCGGTCTTGCAGGCCATTTTTCTTAATTCTTGAAAAGATAAGAAGGAAACGAAATTTGATGGACTATATAAATATCTGAAAATAATGATGTTGCAGTCACAATGGTCAAAATTAGAGATCTCTCTCTAGTTTTCAAGCCAAATAGTAAGGCTGCATACATAATTGGCATTATGAAGCCTCTCCTACCTCTGACGAAGGTGGAATTTAGTCTGGCCATTAGCATTAATACTACGTATTAGCTGTCATTTCTCCAAAATTGCTCCTCTGCTGATGCCATTTGAAGCTTGACCAAGAGTTCACTGTGCCCCAATCCCAGCATCTTAACATTTTCAAGAGGATACTGCGAAAAAAATTTAAGGGTTTCATTAATAAGCTCGTTTTAGGATGCTAATTATGTTAATTAAAATTAGCCAAAAGAAAACGCTTTTGAAGACCTATTAACAATTGAAAAAATGACATATCTCAAGAATATACAAGTGGCCTGGCAGAGAGCACATTATTCGGTACATTAAATTTTTAAAAATTCGAAACTAAGCCTATGATATATGCAGAGAAGTGCAATAATGTATAGTTAATAAAGTTCCAGTTCAACGCTCACCAACAGATACTCTGCTGCAACTAAAAGATGGCTTTATTTAAGAATATGCGCAGAAGCATTATTAGCTGAGGAAAAGGTTGGGCAAATAATGATAAGACCTGCGGATAATCAGTGAGTAACAGAGATGCTTCCAAATCTCAAACTAATCCTAGATCATGGAGACTGGTTTACGCGAATATGAGTGACCATTTAAACAAACGTCATCCATTATTGGGCATCAGGAGATAGCCATGATGCGAATCTGTCAATTGGGTTTTGCCCGCTGTGCGATTTACATCATTTACTTATGTAAATAGACTCGAGTAAACGTGAGGAGGGTCCCAAGTAAATCTTCCTAACTGATTTGATGGATGTGCATCCTACTGTTTGGAGATCATTATGATCTTCATTGAGCATAATGTTCTTCATTGAAAGTCAAATTGCAGAACTAATTGAGTCTTTCCATTGGAACAGTTCTTCCAATTATCTGAGGCCAAGTTTTATCATCTACCTTATTACCACGTTAAGATGGAGTCCCACATTCATAAATCTATAAACCTAGAAATGCAACTGGCAAATGCAAATACCAAGAAGCTTGGCCCATGAGTATTGAAGAAGCAAGAACCATGTATTAGCTACTTATAGTTAGAAGCAAGGAAGGATCTAACAAAGAGGTTGCTCAACAAGTCATCACCTTGCTTGTTCTTAACATCAGGACAAAGGTTCAATAAAGAAGAGCAGTCTCTTTCTCAAGGCAAAGTTAAGGCCTAACACAAAAGGGGTTTCTATTTTGTACCCGCATAATGAAACTTTCAATATTCGCAACGTAATCTTATCTTATTGATACATCTAAATTCGAACTGAAGTTAATTGTAGCACCTTTTAAAACTATGTTCCAGCCACACATGCCCAATGACCTAAACATTGTGTATGTGTGTGTATATTCGAAACAAAAAAGAGACCTCAAGGTACTTTTTCATTATCTGCTTTCTTTAATGTTGATATAGTACCAGCAAAACCCCACTCCTGTCCATTTTCCTGTCAATTGTCAAGTTTGTCTTTGTGGATCGGCTCCAAGTCTCATCAGCTAAATTTTAAGGAAACAATGTCTGGAGGGTCCTCTCCCTTGGCCTGTAGTCTGCACACAACAGCCAAAGATGATGAACAAGAAAACCCCCAAATAAAAAAAAAGCGTAAATTCATTCCCGTAGCCGTATGATTAAGACTCTTTGAAACTCTTGTGGGGACAAGACTGTCACCTAACATCTTCCTCCAGTTATTATATTGTGAATATTTGCATATAGTAAATGTTCTGCACACACCAGCCCCATTCAAAGCATCTTTTTTGGCTATATAAATAAACAGTGATGTGCAGAAAATAATTAGTACCATCTCATTTATATAAAAAAAAGAATTCGGTTAAGGCTGCAGCAGAAATCTTTTTGGTGAACCCAATGAAATGGATTTTAACCAACATCATCACTGAGATGGGAAAAATAAATAAACAAATTATTAACCTTTATCTCAAAGAGCATCTTCCATGCCGGAGCCCCTCTTCATTCTTCCTTTTCTACTCTCTATATTATATAAAAAGTTGATGTGATTATGATAAATAAATAAATAAAAGCTCCATGAGTGATTCATTGGGTCTAGTCAGAATCTCACCACTGCCAACCTGGGATTCTTTTGATGCTAACTTATAAAATTAAGGAGTAGTTTGTTAATTATTTTAAAGAAAGGGCATTTGGCATCTATCTTTGCTTGATTGAATGATTGAATTCTCTCTGCAGTAAAAAGGGAACGGAAGCTTCTCTGCTTGGTTAATCTGTGGAAATTACAGGAGCTCTCAGAATAAGCAGAAAAATGGGAAAAAAAAAAAGAAAAAAAAATCTGGTTGACCCCAGAAGAAAATAACTCATGTCTTAATCATTTAAATGTGACTTTATCAGAAGAAAAAGGTAGAAGCCCGACACATACAGCTGGTTACAACATGAGTAAGAATCAAGTACACCAGATTACGCGGACTTAACAGTTCATTCAAGTGACAGGACTCTGAGAGCAACCACTAAACAAAGCGTGCAAAATTCAAGTCAATTGAGTGAATGATGACTCATATGTTTATGTGGTGAAATGTCCAAAAGATATGACAATGAGAGGTAGCGGAAAAAATAAATCCCTTCGTCTTCATAGAATTTATATAGTATGATACATGTATAGCTATCACACTCTGCACCATAAGAAATTGTACAAAGATTTTACAGAGGGCATCCTGAGAAAAAACCCCTCAAGAATTAGCCCGAAAGAAAGGAAAGATCATAGACAAAAATTGAAGGAAGAAAAACAACTAATTGTCTTCTTCATTTGACCTAATCCTGGAATACTATCTTTAACCGTGGAAAGTCTGAAGCTGGAATGCTGTTTCTCGATCTGAATTTTGACCAAAACCCATTTGGACAATGCTTTGCAGGTCATCTCCACAGAAATTCTGATACTGAAAATAAACCGAACAAGCAGTCAAGAGACAAATTGACAAAACTAAAAGCAAAAAAACAAAAAAAGAAAGGAAATTGATGCAGTTGAATCTCGGTCCAGAGAAGATCTTTCAAGAAGATTTACCTGAAGATCATTCAGTGGAGGTAAATGAGACTCAACGTTGTGACATGGTCCCAGATTCAATGGGTCTACTTGGGTCGCTGTGCCACTAGAGGCGTGTCCTTGCAGCGGTGGTGGCAGTGACTGATTCTGAGGTCGGCGGTGGCTGTGAACGGTGGTCGCTGATGAATCTAACGGAAACATAGGACGCGGTGCAGAGTTGTTGGGCTGAAACATCTGAAAATGGCGAAAATAAAACCGCTAATTTTGGCAGAAAGTTCATAATCTCGAGCTGTTCCTTTCAAACTCAAGAAGTCATAAAACTTACATCCTTTGACATGAGTGCATCTGGATTAAAATCCATAGTGGTATGGACAGAGGCCAACTTCATGGAAAGGAACTGCACTTAGCAAAAAAATTGTCACTAACAAAGCATGAGGAATCCTAGTACGGAGGCCAGATTGATGAATGACTGCAACATTACCTCAACTTGACGCTGCAATGACTGGACATAGTTGATGATTTCATCTAGCATCAGTGCCTTTCCAGTGACCTAAAGTTTTGGTCAATTCAAGTCACGGATTAAAAATTTGCACATTTATGAAATTGAAAATGACATCTTCCAAGTTCGGAATTTTTCTCGAGCACCTTATTGCAACCGGGCACAAGGTCCTGGAGGAGCTTCATTCGCTCACTGATCTTCTCTCTTCGCACCTAAAAATGGCAATTGCTCGATTGTAAGCCAAACGAATTGCAGCTAACATTCCTTATTTCTACATGAAAGAAAACTGGCAAGCAATTCTTACTCTTTCAGCTAGACTATGACTATCGGTTGCCTGACCCCTTCTTGCTCTAACATGAATGTAGTCTTTTGGAGGCTCAGGTGGCTTCGCATCGTTCTTGGTACTATTTCCTTTGGCATCATCTTCCCCTTTGGCAGTGCCATTTCCATTTCCATCACCTTCATTTGGCTTGCATCGCTTCGGACTCGAATTGTCACTAGACTCAGGCACCTGAAAAGGAAATTTTCTTTTACTTACCTGTAGGGATAATATGGAACAAAAAAGGGGCGACATTGAAGCTTTCCATCAATACCTTCATAGCATTGGCGACAGGCGTGGATGGGGCGGATTCCTTTGCTTTTCCCTTAGCAGCCGCCTTCCTTTTCCTGGAATTCGCCTCGTTTGAGGCCTTCAATCCGTTTTCGCTGCCTGGGATTTGCTCGGAGACCGAGGACTCCTCATTAGAATTCGTCAGTTCCATCCGATCCGACAGTCTCGAATTCACATTCTGCTGAACGGTGGCCGCTGCCTGAGATCCCAACGCCTTCAGCGAAGGGCTACTCGAGACCCGTTGGAATTTCCCACTCTCCATCAGCGGGTTGGGCTCATAAGGCAGCTCGCCATTGTTCAGGGAAAATTGGCTCGTCCGTCCATTGAAGCTCCGGCTCCCTAAGCACGAGAACCTTGCGGCCCTCTCTGCAAATCCAGGATCAGCAGTGAACTCCGCCACGCTGGAGAATCTCTCCTTGACCGCGCGATCCACTGTCGAGAAATTCACCTTTGGGGGCGAATTCAGAGGGGTGCTATAACATGACGTCTTAGTACTATTGCTTCCGCCAATGTAAGGCATCGCGGCGGCGGCCGCATTCCCCGACAAGGCAAGGGAATGCGGCGACGGCGACGCCTCACCGGGGTTCCCGATGCTGCCGAGCTTTCCAATCAGCTCCCTGATCAGGACACTCTCATTGGAAAGGTAGGAACCGGGGGCAGCCGGGGAGGACACCATGGAGCTCAGTGCAGACTCGAAATGACCACCTCGGTCCGTCGAGGAATTGTCGCGGTTCGGATGGAAGAAGCAATCGGGGGATTGCTTGGAAGCACAATTCAGGTCGTTGGGCTGAAGTGCCATCCCTGAGGGGAGCGGCTGCCATGGCAAGAAGAACTCATTGTCCATGTTTCAGGAGCGAAGAAACAGGGGAGGCAGAACGGTGGGGCGGATCAGTCTTAAAGAGAGGGTTCTGGGGTTGAGGGTGAGAGGAGCTGAAGAGGGTGTCTTTAAAGAATGCGAATGAGCCAATCAAGAAATGGTCGGAGGAAGTTCCGGGGGCATTAAGATGAAGAAGCCAGGAAACAGAGGGAGTGAGAAGGAGTTCGGAGGGAGTGAAATGCGTGGGGCTCAATATGATTGCACTTGTATGGAATCGGGGGGGAGTGGTGGGTGGGAAGTACAGAAGAGAGAGAGCGAGAGAGAGAGAGAGAGAGAGTGTGTGTGTGTTTGGTGTGGAAAAGGGGTTGCGAATGCAGAACCCAAAAAGAAAGGCGCGCAGAAAGAGAGAGAAAGGAGGAGAGGAAAAGGGAAAAGGGACAAGGGAAGGGAAAAGGGGAAGAAGGCGGGTGTGTTTTATAGACGACAGAGAAGCAAAATGCAAGAAAATCAAGAAACTCAAGAAAGAGAGAGAGAGAGAGAGAGAGAGGCAGAAAGAAAAGAAAATTGGAGGAGGAGGAGTTGAAGTGTTGACATTTGGTAAAAAATGGACGGAGAACCACTCCTCCGCCACTCCTCGAAAGGCGGAAGACGGTGTCTCTGCCGGGCCTTATACGCCAAACCGCTCTCACAAATGTCAAAAATTTCTTATTCTCTCTCTCCAAATTTAACCGTCTCGAGAGGGGAACTGTCTTGCGGTTTACGGCGAAAGGAGAGAAGTAATAGTTTCTTTTTCTGTCTAACCTATTCTAACTCTCAACTCATTCTGTAGAGCGTGAAAGTTGAAACCCACATCTGAAACTAAACGTCGCCACCCCTAACCCTCCTGAAAAGGCCCACCTTCCCAAGTAGGAAGAGTGGCCACTTGGGTTTTCCCTAGGGGTGATCGGTACTCGATTCCCAATTTTGAGAACCGGGGACCTGACCGGACCGGTGATCTGGCCGGTTCCAGTTCGGTCCAATGGAACCGGTCATTTTTTTTTATTTTTTTCCTACTACAATGAGAGAGAGAGTAACAAATCTCAACATATTGACGGAAGCGACAATGAATGAAGAGTCATTGTGGTGCGACGATAAGGAGAAAGCGTTATACGTGGGTTTAGTTCACATTTTACCAAGTTTTTTGAAGAAATAAAATATATATATATGTAATTGGTTCAGTTCAATTCCCTCTTGGAACCGGGAACTGGACCGCCCGGACATCAGTTCCACTTTTAGGAACCAAGAACCGGACCGACACACTCGGGAACCGGATCAAACCGGCCGGTCCGGTTCAAGCAGTTTCTGGTCTGGGAGTCCGTTTTGTACACCTCTAGTTTGCCCCAGTGGTCTAGAAGTAAAGTTTTTAATCCTTTCTTTTTGCTGTTTTTTCATATCAATATTTCTGAGGAAGTAAGCATGTAACGACGACATTTCGATTTATTTTTTATTGCTAGAAATATGTATAGGTTTGTAAGAGTCTGTAACATTTGATGATAAAATACCGGAAAGAAAAAACTATACTCAAAAGCCGAAATACTATGATTGGTGACAAGAACGTACAGTCGCTACGTGCGAATGACGTATTTAACTTTCTCAAACTTTGTAACGTCAACTTCTTGCACACACGCAATGTCGTGCGTATTTGCTGGTATGTAAAGACTTTAACCATTTCTTAACGTAATTTAGACTGCGGTACGGACAGATGAATGAACATATTAAATACTAAACGATTATTTTGAATTCAAATTAAAAATGACCAAGACATCGATTGATTTGCTTTGCCAATCGTTTTCAAAGTTTTGCCCCATCATATTAGGCCCAAAAATTAACATGGGCTGTAAAAAATCCCGCTCAATTGAGCCACGAAAGAAGTAAAAACGAAACGAACACGCGTTTTCTCTTCTGGCCAATAGAACTTCAGCTAGATTTAATTGCTTACAATGATCGATTTCCTTTTTGCCTTATTATGTTTTTGAGCATATTATTTCTTTTTGGTTTGATGTGCTGAAATTGTCTATTGAGCTTATTCATATTTCTTATAGTAAAATTCTGAATTTTCGGACTTCATAATCTAATCCTTAAGTATCAAATTAATAACCAATAATTGTACTCGATGCCTAATGTGGCGAAAATAAAAATATTCGCCTTCCTGGCTAGTCAAAATATAAACATCGCGCGAAAGAAACATTTTACCAAAGGCGACGAATTATTCGTAGCCTTTGGTGCCAATCAGAATCGGCATAAAACTGGACTTAGGACAACGAATTTTGTCCCTAGGCTCAACAAGCTCGACAATCGCTCCTCGCCTTCGGTCATTCTATGACAACTGAAGAAGAGTTTTGTCGCCTTTTAGCAAGACGGCTTTACTTGGCGATAGGATAACAAATGTTACCGCCTTGGACAAAGGCGATGGGGCAAACGCAACAGAGCCACCAAGCAACCCCCGATCGCTGGCATAAGTTTTTTTAGTACATTATTAGGCATAGCTTTTCAGTAAATCGAGTGCAAATGAATGGACTCTACGCGGATCACTAGGGTTAATAGAAATATTGTTCAAATTGTAGGTACCCCATGAGGGAATAATTGATAGGGAACTAAGCTCGTTAGCTCCTAATCTTATTTTATTAAATAAATGCTGCATATTATTTGCTGTAAAATAGCAACTTTTTGGGCCAATATTCAAGGAGCTAGGTCACCGCATCTCAAGGTATGTTTTCATGAGTTCATTCAGATTGGACAGACCATCATCGATCGAGGGACATGATTGGTTCGTTTGCACATTATTAAACTTAACCACTTTGATTCTTATATCTATGGAAAAAGCCACTTTTTGCAATATCTTTTTTTCCTATATGCTTCGTGTTTATAATATAATATGGATCAGACGGATCTGGTCTATCATCTTATTTATATGTAAGTACTGACCAAATAATATCTGACAAATACGAACACGAACACGAACCCATTACTTTTGGAGTGTGTGAACTTTGGTTTTGAATGTTTGACAATTCTTCTCTTTCAAATATATCGTTTCGGCACTAATTTGCATTTAATGGCCCAATTCATACCCAAATTAAGAATATAAATCCAAGGGATAAAAAATTTACCCTAAACTACTTTTCGTAGCGCGAAAAATCTCAAATCGGTACCCCCCACTATCTTTCTCCACGTCAGATCTATTTTGCAGTCGTCTACTACGCGTGTTGACAGGTATGTATTTTAACGGGACATTGAACGAAATGCTAATGAAGGTTAGATTTGGGTCCAGGGTACCATATATTGATTTATTGTGCGACAAAAATTAATCTGGAGTAAATATGTTATTCGATATTTGTTTGAGATTTTTAATGGTATTAACCCCGAATCCAAAGAAGTTCCTCCGCTAAATTTACTCCTCCCACTTTTAACATGTTCCCTTCCACAAGAAGTGGGTAAAAACAAAACACACAATTAGAAAATGCAAATTAAACTATTAATTGTGACAGCCAACCATTCAAGTCAAGTTAATTACATTCAAAGCCCCTATCAATTGCTAGTGCAATTAAAAATCAAAAATCAAACTATGGCATAAATGTTTTTAACTGCCATAACCTACCATCCACGCTCTTCACCAAATCACACTAAAAATTATAATTTTGTGTGGCCGGTTGAGTTCATCTTAGTCGTCGCGCGGTTCGAAGGAATTGAAGGAGATTGTACAATTTCGTTCTGCCCCCATTGGCTGAACATTGACTAAAAAAAACAAAAACCAACTTGTCTTTTTTAAATATGGGGGCGAATTTTAAATTAAACAATGATTGGAGCGAGGACAATTAGGACCTTGTCAAGGGGCCAAGTTAAAAAAATAAAAAAAAAGAAAAGCCAAAGTAAATTCTAAAGAAAGCAAATAATATCTTTTTCTTAGCCGGTAACCGAGGCAATAATTTAAACATTTTCGAGCACGATCGCCGAGGAAATTGGTATTTAAAAAAAGGGGAAATTATTTAACGTGTTCTGGCATAGTCAATCATTGCATTAAATTCTCATCTCCCGGTTTAACCGGCCTCCGGTCGGATTCATATATCGGATCGACCCGCCATCCAGTTACAGTCTACAGAGAAATAAATCAGTTTAATTATAATAAATAGGAAAGGGTTGAGGCAAAAAAGAAAAAAAGGTGAAAAAAAAAGGAAGAAGAAACATTCGCCTACGTGCCTATACACCGTACTCCATCACCGTTTGGCTTTGTTTGACCGTTGAATTTTCTCATTTCCGTCTGCGACGTCGTTTTGGTAGTAGTGATACTAGCATCACTTTTTGGAAAGAAATAAAGAAGGAATTTTAAGGATGAGTCAATTTCAACCTATGGTAAAATTCCCTTTTAAGAGCCAATTGCGTATACGCCCCTGTTTGGTATAGCTCCGATACGGGGTGAGTGTGTCGTGACTTGTTTACTTAGCAATGCATCTTTTAAAGTAGCGACCACTTCAAAATTGATTAGAAAAGTTAAAAAATAAGCTACCGCGGTTGCGAGTAGAGTTGATCATCGAGTGCATTCTTGCTCAGAGTTTGAGTCTAGTATGTCGATGATGTCCTCCCATAGTCTAAAATGTTCGGTGAAGTGTTCCGGACCTGTTCGGCCAATGCCGAGGTCATATTTGGGCAATGCGGGCCTTTATTCTAAGGGCGTTCCACAAACGCCCCGTTTACCTTTTAGGCCTAGTCGAGCCTGGCGAACCATCCACCCGTTGACCAGATCTACTTAAAAATTTACCGAGACTTTTAGTAGTTGCCTAAATTTAGGGAAATCATTCTTCGTCCATGGCTCTTATGGAGCATTTGGGCACACCAGAATGAACTATGAGATCGCGACTCCTACTCATGCTTTCCCTTGGCCCCATATTCGGCTTGGCTTATGAAGTGAGAGGCGCGTTTGATTCACGAGGGGGAAGTAGGGCCTCTTCTTTTCCTTCTCTAGTGAAGAAAGAATCAAAGCTACAATTGCATGTATTGGTTTTTGTGTCTTGGTCTTGTTTGGCCATATGCCATTATCGCCTTCTCCTTCCATCGTTTTTAGCCACAAAACCCAAATCAAGAGAAGGATCCATACCTAGGTCAATCCTTTGTTACAGTCAGAGCAATGCTGGATCCTTCTTTCTATTTGATTACTAAATGTTCCTCCATTTCGGGTCGAAGAAAACTCGCTCTTAAACACGTCTATGGTAGGTGGATTATCATTTATGAACATCCCTTGCATGTAAACTAAAGTAAATGTGTGCCACGCCCCCATGATTGTAACCCATTACTCAGAAAACTTAATGGATAAAGTTT